TCAAGCTAAACCAATTTACACTTAAACTAGGTCTCTTTAAGCTGCATAAATTTCATTCCAGTTTATTTGGTTTGTTCTGCCTCCCTGAATAATGTTCTATTAACTGGCCACGTTGCTTACACTAATTGCCCTTATCTTCGGTAATTTTGTTGCGTTTGTAGCATTTTAAGTAACTTGTGGCCATTTCTTATTTATCACGGATTTGTTGCTAACCAAATTACTTCATATGGTAATTTAGCGAAGAGTTATGCCACCGTATCTGTATGCATTATTGGATTTATTTTATTTCAGCTTTTCGTTTAAAGTGAATGGCTGTTGTTTGATATCCCTGGTATGGTTGCGCTTGATGTGTATGTTGACAAGGTGCCTACCTGTCTATTACCCACTACATCGTTCATACTGGCTCCAGGAGACAGTTGGTCGTTGCTGAAGGGGACGGAGTGCACGGTTCTTGTGGCCGTGCTAGGCTCAAAGAGCGGTTCCATGCACTCAGTGTGGAGCGGACTACGGTCCAGCCACCGCCTTGTGTGCGCTTGATTCCCCAAATACAGCGTGCTTGTGTTTGCCTGTGAAGGAGTGTGGGCCGGCTGCGTTGATGAAACGTGGTTCCCATCCGCATGCCTCCCGGTCTTATTCCTTCGGGTTTACACTGGATATGGGGTATGTGGTTGGAGCTGTGGGTGGTGCAGCGCAAGCCATCCATGGTCCCTCTGTAGGCGCAGGCGTCCTGTGGCTTGCCACAGTGACAGGCAAATCCGAAACCGGATGCCGCCAACCATGTATGTGGCTGCCCACATTGACAGGTAAATCCGAAACCGGATGCCGCCAACCATGGATATATATATATATATATATATATATATATATGCATATATATATATACCGTTTGTTGGGAAACCGAAGGTTCGTCACCAGAACATGATGAGAGTGAGCCCATCACGTTCTACTGTCGATTTCAGATGTTGGAAATCGAACGTTGTTGATCGGCTTGCATGGTGCGATCTGTTCACCAAGGCTATTTCTGAGGTTTTACGAGAAAGCTCTCGTTCTTGCAGAGAAGAAGCCGCAGTAATAGAAGCGACAACCGCCGATGGGTTGTACTCCGTCGACGTCGAGCACATAGTCTCGGGTGCCTGAATCAGACAAGCATAGTGAGCCATGAGCGAGACCACTCAGGACCAGAATCTAAACGATGACGAGACTACCTGAGAACGTAAGCGGAACCGGTGCCGCGTTGGTATGTATGCTGCATTCGATTTACTAACCAGGGGCTTGCGGGCTGAGTTTCTTTATTTCAAATGGTGGGTTTTCTACAGTGTCTCAATGCATTTTTTACCTCACTTTAAGGTTTACTTGAATAAACTTCTATTAACTTGCACACATAGCTTAAGCTGCTTGTGGTTAAGTTCACTGACGTTTTCGCATTCGTGCCAATTTAAAAAGAATTATATTTTCTGACGTATGAACTTATCAAGGATTTGTTGATAACCATTTTCTTATATGGACTCATTTAATGTAGAATTAAATCAGCATATCCGCATGCTTTATCAGATATACATTATTGGTTAACCTCATTTCAGGTGCTTGGCTGTTGTCTGACATCCCCGGTTTGGCTGCGTTGAATGTGCATGTTGACAAGGTGCTTACCTGTGTATTACCCACTACATCGTCCATACTGGCTCCAGGAGACGTTTGATCGTTGCTGGAGAGGATGGTGTGCATGGTCCTCGTGGCCGTGCAAGGCTCCGGTGTGGATCGAACTACAGTTCAGCAACCGACTTGTATGCACTTGATTCCCCAATTACAGCTTGCTTGTGTTTGCCTGTGAAGGGGTGTGGGCCGACTCCGCTGTTGAAACGTGCCACCCTTCCACACATCTCCCAGTCTTATGCCTTCGGGTTTGCACTGGATTTGGGGTGTGTGGATTGCACTGTGGGTCGTGCTGCATGAGCCACCCATGGTCCTTCTGTAGGCGCAGGCGCCCTTTGGCTGTCCCCGTGGAGGCCACAGTGACAGACAACGCCGGAACCGGATGCCGCAAACCATATATATATCGTCCATATAACAGCGCGCTTACTATTGTGCATATTGGTCTGTCCGGCTACAGACGGTTTCTCGGATCAGGAGAATAACATGCATCCTTATTCTTGTTATTATTGAGACCAGCTCGGATGGGTTAGAACACTGTGAAATGGTTTTGTAAGCCTTGTAGCGAAAACACCAAATAACAGTTTGTATAGCCATCATCCGGTACTTTCTTTTATCTAGTGACCTTTCTAAATGTATCCGTTAACGTAGAACGTAAGCTGTATTCCTTATTATTTCATGGATTTGGCTGTCATGACAATTCGAGAACAGGGTTTGCAGCCGGAAAATCCGCTTATTGCATAACCGGTCACTGAGCGTACATTTGAACAAGTCAAATTTGATCTAGATCAGGTCCTTGGTGCTTTGGATGGGCCTTCTAGAGTCGTGGATTGCATCTGACACAAGTGATTATTTCGTCGCAATTTAAAAAATCAAATAAATATGCACTGATTTTCTTGGCGCAGTTTAGCCGTACATTTTATCCTTAGTCTGGTTGGTGTAAGAAGAACAAGCTTGGAAAAAGTGAACATTTAGCCATTCGCTTGTCACCATGTTCCTGGTTTTGGTACAATGTTACTGACCCATGACTCTGCCGGGGTGACGACTTGATTTTTCACTCAGATAGGTGTTTAACCTACAGAAGTGACTGCAACGGCGTTACAGCTTTCGAAATTAAGATGGTAGAACTATAGCGGCTGCCCTGATTAGATGTTATTCACAGGACTAGTGATACTTAATCTGCGTCTTAATTTACCACAACAAGCATTAAGCTTGATCACGCGAAGTCGAAGTGGCGCGACTTACAACATCTACCCGGTGCTGTTATTCATTAGTGTGAATTAGCTTGTAATTATTATACACACATTTTTAAGGGTGAACCAGACTTAGTTTTATCACTGTTACTGACATAGTATGCTTTTGCGTTGTCAGTTCCGGCTGGCTGAACAATCTACTCATGTTCCAACAGTGTGAGCCAGAACGATGACTAAATAGTAGGCGCTCTTCGGAACCATGGCATGTTCACATGGTAACTCCCATAGAGCCGAAATATACGGATATGTGGGGTGCGTTAAAAGATTCGATGGAATAGTTGTAAACACCTACTTAGAAGTGTACCTTGTCTAGTTTACTTCATTGTTGTTTCAGGTCATTTGATCTGTCATCCAGACTCTAAAGTCAACTACTCTTTCTCCTCTTTAAGATGAATCGTCGTACGTCGAGTTAAGGATAACCCAGGACTGTTCAAATGAAAAAGATTTCCGATTGCAATTTTGACAGTGTGCTAGCTAACATGACATAGAAATTGGTGGAACATTTAAAATTAGCCATTCTTTATGTGCTTCTAATGCATCTCATTTATTCCGGTATGGATTAGTAGTGCTCAAGGTACCCTTTCACTAAGGATGCGACCTTTAACCTAGACCCTTGCATAACAACCTTCAAGATACAAGATTCAATCAAGATTAACGAACATGTCAGCTGATTTGTTGCTCTAGGAGTATACTTTTTAACCGATGGCTTATTTTCCAACGATGGATGTTCAGATGACATCGCCCCGGGTAATTCTTGACTCTGCCAACTCGACAAAAGCCCAGTTTTGTTTGAGCGAAATGCTGCTTTGGCATATTTTGCAAAAGAGGCGACATCTCATCAGCACGAATGACACTGACCAGTACATACACCAAGTTTCTTTGTAGTTCAGCCTCCCAACTGGACAGTGGTGTGAGACAGATCAACACACAGAGGGAAAGGGACCGTTTACATTCCTAGTTTGTACTGTCTATGAAGCTCGTTGCGTATTTGGTTAAAGCTTCATCCATCTGCCTTTTCGGTAATGTTTGAGAGGTTTACTACACACAACCATGCGGACACATTGCAGGAGAGCGGCGCCATTTGTGGCTTATCGAAAGAATTGTGAAAACCATTTTCCAAACATGAGCGGAAACTTCATGAAACTATGATTAGAGGATGCTACTTTCGTTTGGATTGTGTTCTATTGACTTGCCTATTACTGTCAAGATAGCACTCTAACGCCAAAGTGGCAAAACTGTGGGCTCCAGGCTCTGGGTTGCAAGTTCATTTGGATCACATCTACTGCAAAGTTAAAAAGATGCAACAGTTCACAGAGCGTAGTTGTAAAGGTAAGCAACACCAGAAAGATCTCTGCATGTACAGGCTGTAATTAAATGTGTGGATTGAAAACTGAGTGTTTTGCCCTCTGGGCTATTTTCACTGGTCATTTGTCACACCAATGACTACACCAGCACTGATCTCCAAGCAAACGCACCGGTTGTGTGCTTAAAAGTGTATTTTCCTAAAGTTCTCTTCTTTAATACCTATGTTTGCTTGTCAGCTGAACGCAGTTCTCATGCGCATGTCATGTTCAGTAGGTGTGCTCGGTGGAGCACACTGGCCCTGTTTTTCATTATCTTTGCCTGAGCCAAGTTTGCTCATTGTCGCTTTCGTAACACCTAAACTGATGAACATTTTATCCTCGCAGATAACACGTAAACAATTTAGAATTCATGTGCAAATAATATCAGGAAATTAGTTAGTTAGTTCTTTTTCTTGTATAAAATATGTTCACGCTACAATATCTCATGGGGTAAGGTTTATCGGTATTGAGCCCCATTGCGTACTTTTAAGCCTTGCATCACGTTCCGGTTAAGCAGTGATAACAACTTTTACCTCTACTCTTCGTGACTCAGTCTCACGGAACTTTGCGACTGTCTATTGTCACTCTTCCCTATCCACACAGGGGGTAGACAATCAACTACAGTCTGCTGGTTTACTGGCCCGTTGTGTCAGATATGAGATGAGGTGGTGGTTGGTCAATCACACGAGTCCATGGGAGGGGTCCCATTGTCTTACGTAACACCTAGTCGTCTGTGCTTACTGCGACAGTCGAGGAAATGACTGAACCGGTAGATGGTAGTCTCGGTCTGTCAGTAGGGGAACTTGAAGTCTTTCTGTTGCTGCAGAGAGCCAATCTGTCCCAGTATTTTAAAGCTTTCATTGACCACGGTAAGAATAAATAAGAACGGAATGGAAGGAACGATCTCAATTTTTTCTAATATTGACGCATGTTCTGCCATTGCACCATAATTTTCAGGCGGCGATGATGTACGGCAACTCGTGGAGATGCTCAAGGATCCACAGGCTTTCGATGATCTACTCAGGCTAGTCGGAATGAACAAGAAACCCTTGCATATCAGACGCTTCCAAAGGGCACTGCAGGAGTTTTCTGGCATATCACGCAACGGGTCGCCTAACACTATTTTCTCACAGATTCAGAACCCTTCCTTGCTGGAAAACTTACCCAAGCAACCAGCGTTTTCCTCTATAACGACACCGTTATCTCCCTTACAAACTTCAATATTTCCATATTCGCTTCACTTTCCTTCACTGGTTCCTGGTGCGTTGAGAGGGACCTGCAGTCCCCAGAACGCGGTTACCACTGGCAGTGTATGGCCTGCACTTTCAAGTTCATCAAAGACCTTTCTACCCGGTTCGACTTTCCAGCTGTTGATGACGTCGAATGCCCAAGCGACTACAATTCCCCAGCCAACAACGCCAAGTGAAGATAATGTTCAACTGAAAGGTAAGTCATGGCAGTCACTTAATTGACGGTGTGTTTGGCCTTAATGGACTGGATAAAATTTAGTAGATTTTTCTTCACTGTTAAGCAAACAGGATTGAAATAAGAGGCAGGGCAATAATTATGTGTTAAGGTACGTAGGATCCGACGCAGAGCGCCCCCCCCCCCCGACTGCCAGGACTGCTCCACCCATGTAAGCTAGTTCCCGGCACTCTTGACCACCAACTACCCAACGAGACTTGTAAAGCAAAGCTTCTTAACCCGTACAGATTTATTGTTCATTGTTCAATACTGCCAATGGCCTGCTATGCCCGGATTCTATTTGGGATGCCATGGCGTTTAGTTCAAAAAGGTTGCTAGATCATGTCGACTAATCAACATCATTTACGGATCCTAGCTGTCACATCTAACAGTCTGTAGAAAAATAATCCACGCTCCAAGCAAAGCGCACCGTAGAACTACACAATCGCGCTGTTCCCCAAACTTACTCTAAGCAGTCTATTTCATCAGCGTGTAGCGCAAATTTTCGGATGGACTCCGACAAAACCTGCGTCAGGAAAAAAGACGGCCGTTGACTAAGTGTACCAGGTGCAACAACTAAAGTCTTTATCTCTTCTATAAAAGAAATGTGAAAATGCAGTCAACGACAACGGGCGATTTTAACGGGCGTTGCCACAGTCCCACACACCTACACTGTGCGAGTAAAGAAAAACCCCAGAGTGTAGGGTTTTGTAACCAGACAGTTCAACGAACCTTAGAATGGAGAGTATTTGATTATTTTCCTACGTGCAGACAGGACATATTGAACACATGCACAAGGTTCTAAATTGCTATGATACTAGGATAATCCCGGCTGCGTTGGCAACAAACTTTCCGCGGTGTTGCCCGTGTGGCTTAAGTTGCGCCGCCTACGTACTGATGCACTATTTTACAACAGTACTATTCACCACAGGTTTCAGCGGTGGCACATAGTCGACATTAGGAAGCTGGAAACTGCTTGAATTTCAGAGACTTACGATTCAGAAACTACAATAAGCAGCTTTAGCGGGGAAGTTGATTGAACTTATCCACACAATCCTTGGGGAGAGCAAATATGCTCCTGGCTGAAAGTATAATGTCGCTAGCATTACTAAATACTGTTTCATTGGTAAGATCCGAAAGGTCAGGCTGGCGAAGGGATAGTTAAGCTGCATTCGTTAATCAGTCCCGTCAAGGTCATGTATGTCTCTCCATGAACTTGGGTGACTGGTTGCTGGATACAACTAAGATAATGCCTATGCGGGATTACTACACATGAAGAGTCCGATTGATAAATGGTCGAATATGCCTCCAATACTATCTTCCTAAGCTATTAGACAATCCTAGCTTCTAATCACCTTCTCTTAATCTATATGTTTTTGAGCTCAGATTCAGTGTGTTCGTAAACGAAACAGCTGCATTATACCACCTGAAAATCCTACTCATTGGATGGTGAGTTTTCGCCAGGATATTTTAAAACTCCATTTAATTCAGGTCACCCTAAATAGTGATGTTATACGGATAGTTCACAACACAGCCATTGTGAACATTATTCTACTCTCCAGCTTACGTTAGTCGTTTTCTAATGGAAGTTTCCGCTGAGCCATATGCGTGGAGTAGCTGGGCGTTTATCTTAGGAGCCTATCACAGCAGATGATAGTGGTCAAAATGCCTTACCCTCGGTCGCATAGGGAGTTCTATCATTGACATTGCGTGTTGTTGGAAGTCTGCGATTTAGTTCTCTGTTTTTGGGCATGGTTGCATCACGTTACATAAGTTAGTCGTACTCATCGGTGATGCAATCCACGTGTAGCAATGAGCACGAAGAGAATCAACCATCTTGTACTGTTGTCGGGCATTTTAGCTGACTGGGAGCATTGCAGACATGTAGCACTGTGAAATCAAGTGCCTCTTCGATTCAGAGCCTTCGTGAGTGCATAACAGTGAGAGTTCAGATGACACATGCCACTAGACTGGAGAATTTTCCGTTAGCAATACTATCTTTAACAGGACAATGAGAAAAGGAACGCTGGTAGCGGCATCCATTACATAGTTCCTCGTCACTATCAGTAAACTAATTAGAAATTCATCAAATAACATAAATAAATGGGTGCTTACACAGAACAGTAGTATTCGATTTGTCCCTACTCCAGTTCTAAGTGGTGAAAGGTCTTCTATGGCGAATAAACCAATGGCGGTCCATAACGTCAGGAAGTTCACTATTATATGACTGATATTTGCTTTTACACGCTGGCAATACAAAGTATGCCAGCTTCAAACAACAAAATACTGAACAAGCTATGGAATTTACATGGGAAGTAAGCCAGTGAATTGATTGATTGCCCGTGCAAAATGTTCCGTTATTAAAAGATAACAATTGGTACGTGTTGTCAATCACATACTTGTGTTCTAACTACAGGTGCAGTAACACTTTGCCCTATTCTGCTACTCTTCTTCTGATTCTAACTGAAAACACAGAAGGTAACACAAGGCATAAACCAGGGCAGGGCCACGTTATTCTGCCAGCTCCCCTTTGACTTATGCCGTTGTATTCACAAGCTGTGGACTTCATCTGAATTACATCCCCAAACGAAGAATCCTTTGTTAGCGATATTTTCCGCCTCCATAATTGGTATGGAATGAGAAGGAAAATCCAATAAGCGAAACTGGGTAAGCTGGGATCACTCAACTATTCTCCGATTGGCGTAGAGTTTTCTAAAATTGAGGTTAAGTGCTGTTTACAGAGCATATTGCCTGAAATAGGGGAATTCTTTATCCCTTGAAAAACTAGTCCTTAATGTACAGTCACTTCTGGAAGACCATAGGTGACGGTGCTGGGCCAAAATATAGCCCAACCTGCTAGGGCAGTCGTCTGTCTATAGTGACCATCTGTCCATAGCGACCATCTATCCAAGGTGATCACATTTTGTCGGTCCCTTGAGTAGTCGCCTTAGACAGGTTTGACTGTAACAACAGAGGTAGTCTTTCTCCAATACTTAGTAGTCGTGCATGCTTAGCAAGCGTGGGGAGTGTTGACGCTCAACATTGAGAAGTAAAAGTTTTTGCACAGTTATTGGTACATGTAAAACGGTGCGAGTAGAACCATTTCATTGTCCCTTATTGGTGCAGCACCCTGTATTCTCTGATCAGCCCCAAATGGCAGTTAGAGTGAGCTGAGTATAATGTTTGCGGATGAGGAATACGCTAAGTCTTATGGCTCCATCATTGATAATGAGTCTTCCATCACTATTCCAAGAGTAAGGCAACTTTGAAGAGGGGACGAAAAACCTTTGGGTTAGGTGTTTTCGCAACTACTGCTCCAAGCCTGAACCAAGGGGTACAGTCAGTTGCAAACAGTCCCCAGTCACCACTTAAACTAAGTCTCTTTTTAAGCTGGATACATTTCATTTCACTTCATTTGATTTGATCTGCCTACCGGAATAATCTTCCACTAAATTTCCACGTTGCTGACAGTAATTGTGCTTAGCTTCGTTAACTATACCGTTTGTAGCATTTTCTAAGTCACTTCTGGACATGTTTACTTATCGCGGATTCGTTGCTAACCAATATACTGCATATGCTAATTTAGGGGAGAGTTATGTCCGCAAAGCCGTATTCTTCAACAGATATATTTTATATGTTGCAGTTATTTCAAGTGATTTGCTGTTGTTTGACATCCCCGGTGCGGCTGCGTCTGATGTGCATGTTGACAAGGTGCCTACCTGTATAGTACCCACTATCTCCTCCATACTGATTCTAGGAGATAATTGGTCGTTTCTGGAGGGGACGGGGTACACGGTCGTTGTCGTCGTGCTAGGCTCGAAGAGTAGTTCCATGCACCCAGTGTGGAGCGGGCTATGGTCCAGCCACCGCGTTGTGTGCGCTTGATTCCAAAATACAGCGTGCTTGTGTTTGCTTCTGAATGAGTGTGGACCAGCTCCGTTGATGAAACGTGGCTCTCATCCGCATGCCTCCCGGTCTTATTCCTTCGGGTTTACACTGGATCTGGTTTGTGTGGACGGAGCTGTGGGTGGTGCAGTGCAAGTCACCCATGGTTCGTCTGTAGGCGCAGGCGTTCTGTGGCTGGCCACAGTGACAGGCAAATCCGAAACCGGATGCCGCCAACCATGTAATCTCAGCAGCCTAACAACTAGGCAGAGCCAACAAAGCCATGAAGATTATCAGATAAGAGGAAGTCACTGCCTCACATTCATCGTGGCACAGTAATTTAAGGTAAACAACACACTTCAGCTAATATGTCGCAGGAAGAATGGACATTTTGACAAAAAGTAGAACAAAACATTTTCAGTTTGTTTTTCACACGTCGATTTTGCCCTTTTTTGTCATTTTCAATATTTGTAGTATTAGACATGTGAATCAATACAATACTGTACACAATTCTTCCAATGATTCCGGTTGCGGGCCATGTCTTCAAGAGTGCTAAGCCATTGGCATTCCTCATCTTTGGGTCCCCATCCTGAAAGAGGTGCTGATCCAACAGCTGCTAGACATGATGTAGCGGTTTCATGTGCTGCCATCATGTGGAAGGCTGACCACCACGCGATCGCCTCCAGCCAAGTCCTTGACGAGCGAATGGAGCACGACGCAGTAGACGCTCAGGGGCCATGCGTAGGACTTGACCGAGCCATCTCAACTGGCGCAATAAAACCAGTTTATTGAAGGG